TCCTATAAGTTTCAAGGACAGAATGAATCCAAAATTTGAACTAGGAATTTGGAGGGTTACATTCCTTGTTTCAAAACTATACTTTGTTCCTTTTTAAATAAATTGAATGCAATTAGATTTTTAAACAAAATCTGTATTTTAAGTTTCCTAATTATTATAGTCTTTAATAACACTGGCTGACCTAGTATCAATGAAGACCTAATTATAATGAAAAGGTTGTCAGGAAAACAACCTGTGATATCTTCAGTAAGGTCAAATTTAACCTGTTAAATTTAACCTGTTCCAATGTCTCATGAGTAGAGCAATTCAGTCTATTATCATATTCTATCACCAATGACAGCAACCTGAATACATAGAAAAGGGTGGTTCATATTGGAAAAACCTGGCATTTACTTAAAGAAAGAATAATTATAAAAGCACTAAGTACACAGTTTCAAAATATCAGGTAGGACAACAACTTAAAGAAAATAACATCAAGCTATAACATATTTGTAGTAACTGCTCAAAATAGTATCAGGTTCTGACACTGGGCTGACTCATTAATTTGTTTTACAAAAATAATCAATTGAATCCAAGCTTCATTATTACGGGTCAATGAAATATGAGATAATCACAAAGGCTAAGAATCAGGCCTTGCACCATGTGCTTACTGGGGTATGGGGAGAAGACACAGCTCACTAGCAGCTCGCAGGTGGCTAGCACTGCCTAATGACAGAAGGTAGTTACGACATGGGCCTCTGAAGGTAGTCAGTTTTTGTCTGATTTTGAGTTCTCTCCAGAAAATTGGGATTCTCATTGTGCCTTATTGGTTTACTATCTGATCCTATATAGCTCATGTTATATCTCAGGTAAAATGCTGGGGAATGGAAATGCCAATTGGTTGAGGTAATGGTTTTATATAAGATAACCAGAGTTCTAAAAGCACTTCAATATTGTAAAGTAAAAATGTACCAAATAAAGCTAATACACACTTCACACTTGTTGAGCTTGCTCACCAGAACTGAACAGTAATTAACTTCACATAAGGACCCCTATTATCACACAAAGCCTTACTCATATTCATGATCTGCTGCAGCAAAGGTTTATCAAGCAACATCTAAACTTCAGAATAACAACAAACTCAATATTAAAAAGTACTATACACGAATATAAATTATTTTTCCTGAAAGAGACTTTGTCCTTCATGGTACTTGGGGACCAGAAAAAAGTATATCGCTCATCACAGACACAATTGTCACCTGTAAGCCTACTGAACAAAGATATATAACACATTACTGTCAAACTTGGTAACTATGCTGTCTCAGAAGAGAAAGTCAATAATAAAAATACCAACTAGAAATCCTTCCACAGAATTTTTGATTTTATAGTGCTATATTTTTCCTATTCTATATTATGTTTTCTCATAAAAAAAAATCAAGAATTGATTTTTAATACATTATCTCCTAACATTAGTTTGTGTAATATATAATCTGAATAATGTCATCATCTGCCTAGTGGAAAAATTGAGGAGAAAGGGCTTTATGATGAAGACAGTTATGAATTATACTTTCCCATACCATAAAAATGGTCAACTGTTGTTGGGGCCATGCAAAACTCTGACTAACAGAAATTAAGCATGAGAACAGTCCAATCTCTATTACACATTTATGAGGACGGCCCCAAACTAGAGTATCTACACTGAAAAAAGTGCCAATATAGAATAGTGGCAAATAAAGAAAAATCAAATATTAAGGGATCACCGGCACCAAGACTGACAGTCAGTCATGTGATGAGCCACCTCCGAGAAATACACGGTATAATGGGACTCTGAACGCAAAATTTTAACATTAAAAGTGCACCTGAATATTACAAACTAACTTTACAAAACCTACAATAAGGTAAAATATATATCTTTTGAAATATTCAGCAGCTTTCTGTTTTTTTTTTTTAGGGTTTTTTCTTTTTTTTTGAGAGGCTCATGAAATTTTAAAGGGACCACTATCTAATTTCAACCATGCTTCACAAAACAATAATGGCTATTTTATATTGCAGTTACCAATGTAATGCAATTAGTGCTTTAAAATAATCTACACTCAAAAAAGGAAGAGAAGGAACAAGAGAGAGCGAGCGAGCAAGAGAGAAAGAGAGAGCAAGAGAAGGAGTAGGAGGAGAAGGAGACCGACCGACCTTTGGAGGAAATATGCTTATTTAAAAGCTTCTTGGAAAAGAAAATTTACCTGAATATCAAGTCATGACTGATCTCAAGTGTAATGTTTAAAAGCTTCACAGACATGAAATTACAATCTTCAGGTCTCAGGACTTTTAATCTGAGAAAGTTTAGAGTTTGGTTTGTTTTTTAAATTCACTTTCTAACCAAAACAAATAATAAGTACTCAAATTTTCACTATTTACAACTCTCAGCCTACAATCTGAAATGACACAATACAAGTTCTCTTATTTAAACTGCAGCATTAAAGGGTAGGCACACCATTCTTCTGCTGCTCGATTGTCATCCACTGAAACACACATAGAAAATATTTATGTTAGTAAAATGATCACTCCATGTACACTACAATGACAAAATTTACGTAACTCAACTCATACATCACTTTATAGACTACCACAAAGGATTAAACCTCTCTGAACAGTAAAACTCTACAAAAGTTGAACTTTTTTAGGGCCAGATTTTTAAATGGGCCTTTAATGATGCCTTTCTGAGAGGGAATAAAAGCAAGCACAAATTAATTGCTCAAAGGACCTTTTTGCAGCAATCCTGGGCTACTGAATACCCTAAACAGCATACAAAAAGGCACCACAGCTGCAATTAATTGTGTATGACAAATTGAGCACGGAACAAAGGAGGTGTTCCTTCACAAGCTTTAGCCTTTTGCTTTCAGCAAACCTTCTACAACTTCTTTTAATGCAGATGAAAACCACGTATTTCATAACTTATTTTTATTGCAACTTCCAGCTAGGCTAGAAAATATTGCAGAGTCATATACTGCTCTAAACCCAACTGATTATTCTGTCGAGAAGACTAGGAAATTAAGAGGAAATAGGCTCAGTTGCCTACTGATTAAACTGATACACAAAATAACCAAACCAAAAGAGGAACCCAAGCCCAACCTATATCAAAATGAGCAGTGCATGTATTTTAATAACAGCAATGGTGTGCCTAACCTTTGAACACATAAGCTGCTGAGGGAAAACTATCCTTAATCTAACTAACTGCTTGAAAGTTTCCAGGCAAGAATTTATTCCATGGGAATGTCTGGACCCATTTCTCACACAGTATCCATCTAAATCATCAACCTCAATTTAACTAACACTCTAGGTTTCATTTTATTTTCAACAAAAACTCCAATGATTTTTGTTGTGATTTTGGTTGAGCATTTAGAAGGGCTTGACCACCTTTCTCAGCAGACTTGAATATAGGGTGTAAGTGGTATATATGAACTTTGTTATGCACAAAATGGTAATTTAATTTGGTCACAATGCAAAATTAATGTCATGGGCTTTTTTATCAGTTATTCTTGGAAAATACTATAGAAAAAAACGCTAAACTTGATTACTGTAATTTTAAAAGCCAATCTCAAAGAAAAATGTTCTTCATGGAGTGCTTTTACAAACATGATCTGAAAGCTCCTGAACTGTGTGCTAAACAACCATGAAAATCAGCTAAATATCAGAAAAAGTTAAGAAGGGGTTATTACTTAGGATGCCAAAAGAAAAGAAAAACTGCAAAGCGACAAGTGAAAACGTAAAAGCAACCCCTCTCCACTTTGTCTTAGTATCTGGATTAGTTAAAAACAAACTACAGTGAGCTTGTCTTCTCATTATATTTTGTCAGAAGTGAAATTCGACCTAAATCACAGTAGGTCGTCTTGGGGTGCTGTTTTTTTCCTCTTAACACAAATAAGTCCTTCATTCATGTGGGCGGGGTATATAGGGGTAAGCTACCGAGACTGTAAAATGTAGAAACCATTTAATAATATTATACATATTTCTTCCATTCCCCAATAAATAGATCTTGAATTTAGTTTAAATTAGTTGCTGCAGTGACATTCAGTGATTAGTTAGCACATGATTAAATCTGTAAAAAGAAAATAATTTACGAATACAAAGAAACTTAGTTTACTAAAATGAGGCATCCTCTACTGCTTTATGTAATGTACCCTGACTGCTCCTGAGTAAGAAGGGAGCTCGTCCTCCATGAGATAAGGCTATATCCTCACTTGTTGGTGAGACCAAATTCTACCCTTAGAAAATCCCAAATAAAATTACAGCAAAGGTAGTGTCACAAAGTAATTAACTGAAGCGGTTTCTGAAGGTAGTGTGTGTGCACATTTTTCACCTCCTTCCCTTCTGGGTGAGCACTAAACAGACTGCTAATTTGTTAAGTAAATTTAAAAGAAGATAATCATAGAATGTAAATTGACCCATATAATTATTTATCGTTGAATAACCAATTTTCTTAAATTCAAATGTTCGTTGTTCTTAAGAGATTTTCCTTTAGTTTAATCCTTCAATTAGTTGAATTGCAGAAAAAAAAAACTATGAAAAACTTATAAAATGGTTTCCCAATATGAAATGATAAAGCTCCCAGTATGTCAGAGGTGGTTTCTAAAAGGGGGCTTTTCTCCTTTTAAACTTTTTTTTTAAATAAAGGTAAATATAACTTAAGAGAAAAAAAGAAAAAAAAAAAAAGAAAAGAAAAGCATAGCATGCAGGCTCTACAGGCAAGGAGTCCACTTCCATGTATCTGTTCTTTGTGAGGTAACTCAATTCTCTTTTGTAGAGAAACATGCAAAAGGCCAAACATATCCCGAGCCATACTGCACAAGAAAAATTTAAAATATGCAACATTCAGAATGCACCTTTCACCACTGTACACACAAGTCAATGCAAAATTTGCAAAGAAACAAGTGTCACAGCAAATGAAGTTAGGTGCAAGCAATGACAGCTGAACAATGCAGTAGTGCTCACCCAGTTTGTACAGTAATTGGCACTCTACAGTATTCCTATTCATTTTTTGATTCATTTGCACTTTGTGCTGCCTCTCCCTGGGGATCTAATTCAATCTTTACAGAAACATCTGGCCCCTCCGACCTCATTAATTTCATCTTTTTCTTTGGAGGGTTTTTCAAAGTGCCCAGCCTCTCTTTTACTTTGTACTCCAGTGTACTGTGGGGAATCCCATAAATACTCTGAGCTTTGGAAACACTCATCTTTCCACTCATAACCACTGAGATTGCTTCCTCCAGTATCTCACTGTTGTACTGTCTGTAACGCCCTCTTTTCTTCCGAGGCTGCTTGGAGCCAGGGTCTCCTTCTTGATCCGATGTGGGATATGGCTGTCCAGAGGTAGACTGCTCAGCATCTGAGCCCCAAGAATCGGGTCCAGCATCTAACATGCTTTTTCTATTTTGTTTTGGAAGAATAGCCCTTAATTTTTTACTAAGCGCGCTCTCCGTTTGTGAACCCATTACCAAAGAGCTATAGCTGTACTGATCACCAGTGCGAGACTCCCAAGAAAGATCCATTCCTCGAACTTGTGGTATCTTTAAATCTACAGGAGATGAATGGCTCACATCCTTTTTTCCATCTTGTTTTGCTTGAAGTGGCATTTTTGGAAAGGCAGAGTTTTCTGCAAGAAAAGGAAGGTCACTGATGTTGCTGAGTGCACCATTTCCCCTGAACTTCATTCGGCTGAGGTTGAACTCATAATGTGGTTTTGCCCAAGAGGCTTCCCTGGATAATATTAAGTGTTGTCCATGATTCTGTAATCCAGATGGCCCAAGGCTGGCAGCTGTGGACAATTGGTTTCTGCTCAGTAGTTCTTCACTAATCTGCAGGGATCGAGCCAATGGAACTTTGAGTGATGTGGAGTGTCCAAAACCTTCCCTGGTTCCATCCTGTAAGCTTCTTGGAGGTACCCCATCACCACTCCGAAGTCCGTCTGGGCGGTACTGGCTGGGTCTCCCAGGTCGCCTAATTGGATGGAAGGAAACTGATGTGAGCAGGACTTGCACAGGTAGGGAGGGATGGGTGAGGGGACCACTCCTTTATTAGAAGGCCTTGCTTGGGTAACATCACTTTGTGTTATTTATTTATTTTTCTCTAAAATTAAAAAAAAAAAGTGGCTCAGTAGTTAGTTTTAAAACTTGTTCACCAAAAAGAAAAAAAGAAAAAAGGAAAAAAAAAAAAGGAAAAAGAACCAAAAAGAAAAAAGAAAAAAAAAACACAAAAAAACAGGAGCTTTTTGGGCAAAGAAAAATTAAACCTGTCAGCTGCTGGTCTCTGGTTGGGTTCACAAATTTTCGGAGAAAAAGTTTCGCGCAACTGTCTGAAGATAGCACCTTAATTATTAATTACAAAGAAATCATCAAGTCTCCATAGATCTACACAGAATTGTGATACTAATGTGACGTTACCACTAAACAAGTACAGTAATAAAAGAGTAAGCCAAATTATTTATTTTAGTCAACATATTCAACATTCATGACAGCCAGCTATAAAACTGGAACCATTCACACTGGTGGAACCCACAGATAACTGCTCATTTAGTCCACGAACAAGCTGATGTTTATTATCGAAAACAAATCAACTCCAAATAACATCTGTTATTCTGCTTGGGGGAAAAAATGGCTACAAGTCCCAAGGAGGGAAAACCCCAAACTAAAGCAACCGAAATACCTATCAAATTATAACTTACCATACTTAATTTTAAAACACTATGAGATGAATATGTACAGATGTATATACCACATTCCCTTTGCAATGATCCACGCTTTTAAGAGACTATCCTTTATTTTTCCCCAAAACTTTGTTCCTTAAGTTCTACTCAAAGAAATTAACAGAGGTATATAAGCAATTTTATATTTTTTTCCTTAAATATAGAACATAAATTTTGAAATGTTTAAGTGATAGCTTTCAAATATGCTTAAAAAGTCAACTATTTACACAAAATTAATTCATAGGCTTTCATTTTTTATGAAAGAGAAGGTTGTCTATCAGCTATAAAACTAGCAAGTGGTAAAGCATGCCCAAGGGGGATAAATTACATAACTAGACACATACGTGGAATTTTGCAAAACTAAAGATGAACCTGCTACATTTTCCCAAAGTCTACAGGGACTTTTGTGCTGTTGTCAGTAAATACATAACAAGGATAACAATATCCAACTAAGAGATGGGTAGTACTGGCGGTGCTTTGGTCTTCCAGAATACAATACCACAGAGAAACTTTCCAATCAGAGGGTTAAACACAACTTCAAACATATGAGATGTGGACCTGGTGGCCAAGTTTAAAGTGAATCTTAAGCAAGGGATTCATTTATGCAACCACGTTTAGTATTCTTCAATGTGTGTCTTTATACAACTCAAGCTTTTTAATATATTAATGGAATACAATGATTTAGGACAATAATGACTTCTAATTTAAACTAAAATGAAAAGAAAAACTTAAGGAAAGAAAGATTAGTAAGCTATGCAAAAATGGTTATTTTTAAACTTGAAAACGGAAGAGAGAAAAAGGAAAATGGTGAAATTTTAGAGAAAACAAAGGGAACATTTTAGAAGTCAGTAAAGGAATACTTCAATTTGAAGGTAACTGAGTAAGTCGAAAAAAGTTAGTTTATTCGGTATGTACTTATTTTTCCCATATTGGTATTCTCTAAGGTTTAATAAAGTTAAGCACTAGCCTATCAAATTAATTTTTCACACCCAGATGAAGTCAATTTTTAGTCATGACAGTTTTATGGAAATTCTTTCCCCAAATGGCAGTTAAATATTTTCACTAATGACTTTTCTAAATTGTTACTATGTATACACAGAGGAGAATTAGACAATTTTTACACTATGAAATTAAGTGATGAGAAAATTTAGTGTGCTAAGAGTTATCAAAACTGAGCATGGAATAACGCCTTGACAGCATACGATGATTACCCATCAACAACTACAACCAGTCTTAACTACTTAAAAAAAAAAAGAAACAACATACAATTACATTTTCTGAACTGCCACATAGTTAAAATTGCAGTTCAAATCAACAAACAATACAAATAGAAAAACAAACACCATTCCCCCAACACACACACAAACCTCACTAGATATACAAAGTTAAATACTAGAATTCAATTTTCATTCAACAACTTCAGAACACACAATACTGCCTTTACAGCTGTACTCTGCAATTATTTTGGCTGTGTTTTACACTTCCATACTCTCAGCAACAAAAAATCCAAAGACATCCTTACATGCGCCTAATTATTTATTAGTCTGTACTAAACTGATATATTCTAGCCACTTCTATATTTCAGATTATTGTTACCTGACTGATGGACTGAAAGTTACCTTGGAGAAGTCCCCCTTTAAAGACTGTTATTCTGAAGGATTTTTAAAACATACAAGGGAGACTGGATTTACTCTTTGACAATTGTTCTCTACAAAGCTTTGGAAAGCTACAAATGTTTTCCCTTACCCGTTCCCTTGAGTACTGGAGCAGCCTGGAGAATGGCTCAGGGAAGTGCTGCCAGCACATGGACTTTTCTTAGTGGATAGATCAAGTACACCGTCTGTAGAGACACAAAGAAACACTTGAGGATATGAAAAAGTAGGAGGTAAGTGTGAACCAAATAGGCTAAAAATGACAAAACAGTAGACCTAGTCAACTGGTCATAGATCTGAATATGGAATCAATTCATTCATTAATGAATCAGGATTTTTTTTTCCTACTGAAGCAACATAAATTGGCAAAGCTTATTGTATCTAGTCTCTCCAAAGATCAAATATTTTATCAATAGGGCAAAAGAAAGGCATGTCACCAAGATATTAAGATGTAGTGAGACATTACAAATAGCTGTTACATAGTATGGGGTCCTGCAATTGTTAGAATTGTTAGACTTCATTTTCTAAATTTACCTTGACTAAAGTGTGAGTTTTTAAAGCTGCAGTGTCACACAAACCACAAAACCCAATCAATCAAGATCTAAGTCTACACAAAACACTAAAAGTGCATAAAAGTTAGATTTAGAAAATTTTATATGAAAGTATTTTTTAAAATATAAGTTTATATAATAAAATTATTCATGTATACTAAACAAGACAGTCTATAATAAGAATTTGTTTTTAACTCTCTATAATTTGGAAGTCTCCTAAATAATTAAGAATCATTTGCAAAAAAACCCCAAAAAACCAAAAAATACACTATATTTAGATTCAATCTTCTAGAAAAATCTGCAGAGATTCAAAGGTGACTTTCTGAAGTTTATGAAGGCAAGGTTTTTTGATTCACAAGCTATTCTAAACTGGTGGACAAAATTTAAGAAAGTTAAACAGTCTTAACACTGAGGAAAGTCTGGAGATTTTATCACGCATGGTTTACTAAAGTTAGGTCAAATCACAAATTCATATCAGAACACAGGTTTTTTTCCCCCTTAGACATATGTAAAATGAACACAGTCTAGACAACTTTTAAATGTCTGCCATCTGTCCAAAATTAACAGCAAAAGAATACTCAATGCCACTGATTTTAAGTTGGCCAGCAGAAAGGACTTACTTACTATCCACTTAATGTTAAAAACTACCTCAATCTAGAACCTATTTCTGACTTATATCTGACATTATAATGTCTATAGTGGGTTGTTAAAAATATGTAAGTGAGTTTAAAAACAAAGAAAGCCCACATTTACAAAGAGTAAATGCTGCCCTTTAAAGTTATTGTTTCTAAAAAATAAAGTTGTAATCTTATAGAACCAAGTTTTTATTAGACATCTAACCATTTGGATAGCTAACAGGCATAGGCACTGTTTAAAATATTTCCAACCAAAGACAGTATTAAAGACATCAAAATTAATCTAAATAGGCAACATACTTTAAATCATGAAAATCACTGTGATTTAAGCTGAGATTCAGTAAAATTCTTTTAAAATGTTTCATTCAAAGTCTGTAATTCAAATTTCTTTTGATAAAGAGCAAGCTGTCAATAAACATACATCTGAGACATAACACTAACTAAAATAAGTTAAATTAGACTAAGTGGAATTTTGTATGTTAATTTCCATTATTAGTACTATAAATAAAGAAAACAATTCTTAAAAGACCAGATAAGAAGTAGCCAATGATGCACCGATTAGTGTGAACTAGGTCTCCTGTTTGGTAATCTCTCAGAACTTAGAAAACTTTTCCGTTTTATTACACAGAAACAGAAAAGAAACCTCAAAGGAAAACTTCAGAAACTATATTCTTTAATCAGCAACTAAAGCCAGTCTATTATGTAAATTCTTTATAAACTACTTATAATAAAGCAAAGAATGTCCTTTCATAAACTCTTATAAGAATTTATTTATTTTGCAAAATAGTTACTTTCACCAGTTAAGTCCACACATTTCATAATCTTTCTGCAAAATTCTCATGAAGTTTCTGTCAATAAAATCTCAATTCAGACACCACCATATTACAACTTTCAGTGTACAAACAATAGTAGCGTTCCAATGCTCAATTCAATTCATCTTTGTTAAACCAAAAAAAAAAAAAAAAAAAAAGGAAAATGAGATCACAAAGCAAAAGAACAAGTTAGTCTATTTAAGAGGGTAAACTTTGCAAAGACTCAAGAAAATTTACAACCCCTTAACCTCTTCATTCATGAATTAGGATTCTCACCAAAAAATTATCTTTTGGAAATACTCTAAGGTTAACTTATAATACAGTGAGGATATACATGTAAGTTTTTCAATTTTTTTAAAAACATAAAACATTGAATACACTTAGCAACTTGAAGTGTTTCTGTCTTAACTTTATTTTTAATCCTAGGAGTTTTATAGTTTTTTTTTTTATGGAAATAATACATGTATTTTTGCCTTATGATCTCATTTGCAGAGTATCTTTTACCTAACAAACATATTTATTTCTCTGATAAATGCTAATTGTACAACAATGATGGAAAAGAGTTGAAAATTTGTTTTTCATAAGACTTTTAAAACCAATGGTTATGACAATAGTTTGGAAAGCTTACATTCAGTAACTTAAAGATTAGTAATAACTGTAACTACCTAACATTATTAGGTGGTACATTAATCATCTACTGATGGATAAGGTAACTACTTTAAAACCTGCTTCTCCATCACTTATTAGTTAAGAAATGATTTAAGAATCACAATCGTTTTTAACCTATCATTGCTACTGGTGCCTTTCTTGCTACTAATTTTTTTCTCTCTGAATTAAAGTATTCCGTCTGGACAGAAGAGACCTTGACATCAAACCATACCTTGTTCGCTAGGTTCTGACTGAGACTTTCTGACAGTAAGGTCCAGAGGTGAGTCTTGGTCAGCCATGAGAAGTTTGCTGAGCACAGGGTTCTGAGTAGTTGCAGCCGTGGGAGAGGTGGTGACTGGAGATGCTTTCGGCAGGCTTTGGTTCTTTGTGCTATTGGGCTGGCTGGGGTCCTGAGTAGAGCTATTTTTTGAGGTATATTCAGCAGCAAATTGTTGGATCATTCGCTGCATGATCTCACGGGCCACTAGGGGAATATTGGGGTCGGAGACCCAGGGACTGTCTGTGAACAAAGATTTATTTACTTTTAAAGTGGGGCAATGTACTAAAAAATACAGCTTTCAAGCAAACATAAAATTTCATTTTATTTTCCTTAAAATACAATTATTCTAAAATAGTATTCCCTCACAATTACATTGTTCTTCCCTAACCTTATGTGTCACAGATTTATTTGTACATATTTCCTGTTCACACCCACCAATTATGAAATCAAATAAAAGAATAACCAATAATGTCTTTTATGGGCAAAAATTACTTACCTGACAGGGATACCCCAAACATTTCTGTTAGGAATTCCCCTATTTACCACCTATAGATCACCTCTGATTTCCTTAGATTTTTCCCTTTTCATTTCTCCCTAAATTGTTGAATGGATTACTTAGTTAACTGCTACTTGTTTTACTTTTTGTTAAAGACTGAAAAGCATACCAAAATAAGAAAGCAAATACTTAAGTATTAAGATTCATGATAGGTTAGGAATAGTTCTAACATTCAGTGATTCATCAGAATTATTTCATGGACTTATCAAAGGAGACTTACAGATCAAATGATTTGATAAAATAAAGGGGAAGTGTACCATATAAATAAATATATTATCACCACCTCTCATTACCATCAGGGAGTCAATGGTTATCAAAAATTTATCTCTCTATACTCAGCACCTAACCTCATTTGGTGTAAAGTCTACACACATACTATTTGAGTAATAAGCTTTTTATTTAATTTTAAAGAACAAATGAGGAAAGTGTGATTGATCTAAAGAGTGAGTGTTCAAATTTAAACAGAAGGTTTAGTGGTAGGTAGCCCTTGATAAAACTCTCATCGATTTTAATGCTTCACACATGAACTTTACGTATACTTTTTTAGAAGTATGTTTAAAGATGGTTATCAGAAAATTTCAGTTTCCTTTAGTCTTTTAAATATTAACTACAGAAGGTAAATTACTTTACCCTCTGTTAAGGATTTAGGCTCATTTAGAAATCAACTCATTAGTATTAAAATCTTCTCAACAAGCAAACATATCAAAATCACACAGAATTCTACTAACAGTATTTCTCCTTAAGGACAATATTCATACCAGAAAATGGTCAGAATATTTAATTCTCTGCGATTTTAACAAGATTTACTCTACCTATAGTATTTCTGCTATACTGAAGTAATACTTCAGTATAAACCCTAAGCTTTCATTGTATAAACAGAAGCTATGAATATGTTAGATGGTTTAAAAATGAATGTGTTCAATTAGAGAAGGTCAAGAAATTACATTCACTAACAATAGTTCCTGAAATGTTTTAATAAACATCTTACCCATACATTATTTTTAAAAATGAGCTTACCCAGTGGTTTTCCTCCCAACGAAAGACTGAATTTCAAATTTTAGTCTATCAGTGTATCTTTTTATTCTCCCCAAATTTGGAAAACACGTAATACACAAAGTTTCCAAATATGAAGCAAAATGTGCTAATTTATAAGATGTCCTGTTTTAACCACACTAATAAGTAAAATTAAACACCTATGAAGCCTAAAAAAATTTTAAAGACCATTAATTGCTACATTTTAGCTTTAAGTGTCTCCAGCATTATTTTGCTCTGTTGGATGAATGTAATCATGAGACAGTATGTTTATGAACCAATGACAATTCTGCCACTTGAATTTTTACATCTTTTGAAAATTTCCTGAACATATTTCATTCTTCCACTTACTTGAAATATAGTATCTATAACAAAGCTATGCTTAGGGAAACATGAACAATCCAGTCAAGTGAAAGCAATGTAAGATCAAAATTTAAACTAGAAAAACATGTAAATGATACATCACAACCAGGTATAAATTTTAATATAGCTCTTAGAAAAGTGTCAGATTTTCTAAAACAAGCAACAAAGTAAGCTGAAATGATTATGACAGTTGTAGAAGGTATATGGTTCTTGAAATTAGAGTTCATAAGAGTCCCTTACCATAAAAATCTACTTTTATTGCATCTTTTTTTCCTACCTGACAGTCACCTCTTTATTCTCAATTATGATACTATTTAATAGTTATATAAAGTGGTAACCCTTGAGGAAAACTCAGCAAGATTTTAATGTTTCACCCATGACCCATGACCTTTACTCCACAACACACTTCTTCAGAAGTGTGTTTCAGGTTCATCAGAAAATTTTCAGTTTTGTGCAGTATGTGGAAATAAAGGAATAAATTCAAATACCTGAATTTTCTATTAAAAACAAAGTTATTTCCCACAGACTAAACTGCTTGTCACATCTCTGGATACTAATCATCTTCTGTATTAACTTTAAGAGTATGAATATCCATCTTTTTGAGACATCTTCAAGAGGATTAATGCATAAAGCAAGGAGGGAGAAACTTCCATTTGCAAAGCAAGTTCTTTTTCCTGAGCATCAGAAGCACACAGACAAATACACAACTTTAACTACATACAATTTTAATTAGTGGATTCTCATTTCTTGAAGTCTGTAGTTTGAGTGATTCCAAAATAAGATAACTTTCTGGTTATCAGTAATTAAAATAGTAACTATTCATGTAAAAGAAAGTTTTTACCAAGCCTATACAATTTTCAGACCTTCATGATAATTTTAAGAACTATTAACTAAACTTATAAGGCACCATTACTTCAGAGCCAACAGAAGGGAAGGGCTGCCTTACACTATTACAAATTTATCAATACCTTGGTGAAAGGAATATAAAGTATATTGTTAATAAAGAGAAAAAAATTTAAATAATATAAGACAAGCAGGTGCTAAATGTCAACTCTTTACTGGAACCAACCTTTTCTATAAAAGACTGCATTGAGGAATTCTTCTGCTTGTCTCTCGAATCGAATGATTTTTGCTTGCTCTTGTTTAAGCAGAGCTTCTTGCCCAGCTCCCGAAGCTGGTTCATCCAGACCGACTAAGAGTCCCTGCAAAAATATTTGGTAAAATATTTGCACAAAAATCTTTGCCCATTGAAAATCATAAGCACAGATACAAAATCAAAGGCAAACAGGTACGTTAAATCAGTTTAATATAATAAATATTTTCAGCCAAGATAAGACGTATCTCTATAAAAGTATATAGAGCAAAGTGAATATAAAAATGTATTTTGGATGGTTTCTGACCCATTTTTAAAATTGTTTAATTTACAGTTAAACTCTAAACTTTAAGTATTTGATGGGAAGATGTCCTTGTGCATTAAAATATTACACAATAACAATTAATAGTTTATAGCCAACTCAACTCTCATGATACCTTAAACTCCAAATCTCATTTGAGAACTGTTTGTCTTCTTAGTATGAGACTTCATCAGACTTGAACATAAACATTTCTAAAGGGTCATTAGAAAATAACACTTGAAAAGATCCGAATTCATAATTCTATCCTCTGCAACTCTCAAATCTTGAGAAGTGGGTTGTGAATTTAGCAAGTCAAAACTAGTAAACAGATATTAGTTTTATCAAAACGGATAAAAAAAAAATCGAAAACAATGCATTTCATGCTGTGAGAATAAACATTTCAAGATTCTTTTCTCTCTCTCAAACTGGTGTATACACACACACACACACACACACACACAATATAGACACACAAATACACTCACATTTGAACATGCTTTTAACATAAAAATGGGGATACTGGTCAAAAAATTTCAAAATGCTGCACTAACATCCTCCTAGAGACTAAGAATCTGCTCCCAGACTGTAGGAGAATGAAATCTGACATGCCACTGACAATGATTGATAATGCTTTGTACTTCCACACATTGCTAAAAAATAAATAGGAAATAGAAAATAAAGAATATAACAAAATGCAGTGCTATCTTTCAAGTTCCAGTATATATTATTTATTACTTCAAATCACTGTAATGTATCAACATGTACATTTACTTAAAGCATAGGAGATGTACAAATATTCTACATAGTAAAACAGGGACACACACTGGCACCAAAAAGGGAAGTTAAACAAGACAGTAAAAGCATGTCGTACCCCACAAAAGATTTCCTTGAACACTTTAAATACACCCAGTGATATCTGTGACCAGCTTTCTCTGATTTCCCTATCATTCAAACTATCATCAGTATGTCTCCATAGTTTGTATGAACCTATTTACAAAGTAGGTATTTTGCAATGGCACATTTAGCATCAACTGTATATTGCAAATGAATATAAAAAAACTACATACTCAAACTAAAACAATGATCCCTTAATATTTTTGTATTAGATCTATATTTGCCACATAATTTAGGTTTCTTAAATTACAAATCATTACAAAAATTTTTATTATAATTGTATTTTCCAACACTTCTTTATGGACAGCAGAAATTATTAAGAAAATTAACTTTTTAAAATGAATCACAATAAAATAATCTTTTTATATAGATTTAACATATTAAAGTATTAGGAACAGATAATTAAAAAGTTCACTGAAATCCTTAATTGTATACTTAGAAACTCCTTAGCCCCACTGTCAGTTTGTAAATCAGACTTATAACAGAATATCTATGCTTAAACTACTTTTACTATAGTATCCAGTCTTACTTCTAAACCTAGAGAAACTTAGCCTTAGTAAGACAGAAGAGGCATGTTCTTTTTTAAACCAATTTACCAATTTCTATCAATGGGACTCTATAATGTATAGACTACTTTCAATTGGTTCATAGCAATTATAGTCTTACTTTTTGGTTTTGATCTTGAATAGTTTTATTGCTAATAAAGCCCATACCATAAACCTCAGCCATTTAAAGTACAAAATTCAAAGACAATTAATATACACAGAACAGGAATATCACCATGATCTAACTTTAGAACATTTTCATTCCCTCAAAGAAAATCCACTTATTGTTAATCTCCACTTTCTTATTTGCTCCAAATCTATACTTGCCTATACTGGGTATTTCATATACATGGCATTACGTAGTATTTAGGCTTTTTTGGTGACTGACTTCTTTCTGAGAATATTTTTTGGGTTTATCTAAGTTGGAGCATGCATCAGTATTACTTTCTTTGCACTGCCAAATAAGACTCCACTTTATGGATGTAACACATTCCATTCATTGATCAACTGACAAAATATTTGGGTTACTTTTACTTGTGGCTATTATGAGATGAATAATGTTGCTTTTACTACTGTATATACATTTTGTGCCAATTTATGTTTTCATTTCTCTTGAATATGTGGGTGAATTTCTGGACTATGTTAATTCTGGTTACCATTTTGACAGTCAATAAATTTTCCAAAAACAGCAGAACCATTTTATATTCCTAACAGCAATGAGGGTCTCAATTACTCTATACTCTTGAATGAATTTTTAAAAAATATTTATTTATGTATGCATACAAGAACTGTGTGTGTGTGTGGGGGGGGGTGTATGAGAGGATTCACCAGAGACAGAGTGGGGAATAGAACAAGAGGTCTTACTGAAAGACACTCCTGGGGGGAGCAGTAGGTATTTAGAAAGGAAAGGTCTGGTGGCCAGGTGGATCAGTTCCCTGGCTGGGGATCAAATTTATGCTTCATGCTACAGTGGCTGTGCTTTAACCCCTTGCACACCAGGGAGGCCCTGAACACATTTTTATTATTCCCATCCTAGCACAGAAGAAACAGTATCTTGTGGTTTAGCTTTGCATTTTCCTAATGTCTGATATGTTGAATACTTTTCATTTCATGTTTTTTATTGACCATTTAAATACCTCAGTGGAGAAATGTCTATACATATGCCCTCCTTAAATTTTAATTAGTCAAACTACATTTTTTTGTTGTGGAGTTGTGAGAATTCTTGACGTATTCTTGGTACAAGTCCTATCAGATATGATCTGCAAATACTTCTTGTATCTGTTAATATTCTTATCACTCATTGATGCTGCTATTAGTAGCATTAAAGTTTTTAACTGTAAGAAAGTCTAGCTTATTTTTTTCATTTGTGCACTTGGTACATCTCCAAAACTACTTGCTGGAAGTTCATTAAGATTTGCTATTTTCTTCTAAAAGTTTTATAGTTCTAAGACTGACCACTTTCTTTGAATAATGCCACTGCACTGGAACTGAGGATGGGATCTGTAACATCTGTGCTCTGTAACAGATGGATGACTTGTTAATAAAGCTAACATAACAGCCAGTAGTAGACAAACAGTTGAAAACAAGTCATAAGGCATGGCACTACTACCTTATAACTAAAGCCTGCTAAAGGGCAACTGGGCACAGTACTTTAAGCCTGCTGCACCTAAAATAGACTTCCACTTTGTGTAAAAGGTGAATAAAGCAAGCTTTCTTTTTATAATTTTTAACAGAATGCATGTATGCATGCATGCATTTATGTATGTGTGTATGTATGCATACATGCATATAAGAACTGGGGTGTAGGCCAGAGATGCAGAGGGTGAAAGGATTCACAATAGAGTAGGGAACAAACAGGCAGTTCTACTCAAATACACTGCTGAGGGAAAGAGCAGGTGAAACAGAAGAGGTCTGCTATGCCATCTGGGTCAGCTTCCTGCTGGGATCAAACTCTGGCCACCTGGGCCTGACTCAGTGTTAGAGCTGAGACTTAATCCCTAGGCCACCAGTGAGGCACAGGAGGGAGCCTTCTTGACCTCAACTAACTGAAATAAAGTGTATGCAACACCAAATTAGAAGGCATGAGAAGAGGTGTCCTCAATCTGCCCGATTCTTGTTCAGTTCCCTTTAAGTGAGTTCAGGAAGAAGACAGGAATAGATCAAATGGATCAAATCGTTCTTCCGGAAATGTAGGAGATTTTTTTAAACAAATGATTCTCCATTTGCTGTATGCCCTTAATATTTATCATAAAATTATTGTTTGTCTAGCTTATTTTTTATCCACAACCACCAAAGATAAAAAACACAACACAATAAATATCATTTTGTTTTTCAACTGCATGTAGTTACCAAGTTAAAATTTATAGCAATGATGTATAAAAAAAGTATAGTTCATACTCCCACATTATATATATATATATATATATATATATATATATGCCAACAATAAAAGAACCAAGATAACCAAGTAAGTTCATACAAAACAGAGTCAATAAAGATAATACAATTCACGTTATCTTCCCTCCCTGGTATGTAAATTCTAAAAGGCATTATTATGTTAGGCACGGCAAAAAGAGAGAACAAAATGATGTAACATACTTCTATAAGCCCACTGTTCTTTGCATTTATTATCCTATTGATAAAGAACAAGTACTAAATAATTTAGCCCAATATTAAATAGGAATAAAGCTAGAAATCTGAACTAAAATCTGCTTCTTTCAGGATTTAGCCGTTAACTGGTCACCAAGGTGTCTCTTTGCTCATTTCAGGATTTAAACTAAGTATATATGCCAAGAATAAACCCTCAGAACTCTACAGATTTAGTAACTCTGGGGTAGGGTAAAGGCATGTTTTTAAAAGCTCTTAATAAAGAACAAAAAAAGTGGGAAGGAACTGTGGAAGAGAGGTGAGAGAATAGCTTGCAGTTTTTGTTTTATCTATTTTTTTTTTGGTGCATGATAACCCAAAGTTTCCAGCATTAACACTTTCAAAACCTTACACTATTTACTTAATGGAATTATGTCTTAAATTCCATAATGCAAAATAAGATTGTGTCTTTCTTACAACTCAATCTCAAGATTATAAAGTTTATTGTATTAATGCCTTAATCAGGATTATTTGAAATATCACATTATTTTTCCTACATTAAACAGAACAGTCTAATTTAAAATATTCACTTAAGTAAAATTACGAGAATATGTTAAGGTGGGCATTATATTTTTTTCCCTAGGGAAATACTTAGCAGAGTAAAGCTATGGTAGCTAAGGAAACAGAATTGTAAATTATTGTGTCATAAGTTTTTTGCAGATAAATTCTTTCATGAATTTCAGAGCAATCAGTATTGGAAAATCTAGTTTTCATTTGTCTTTG